GAAGTTCTCGGCATTTTCCGCGCATAACTTGACTGCCTCAGTTGCCAAAGGCCCGGTGACTTGGTGACCTTATGACATTTTTTGTCAAGTCGACACAATACGTTGACATAGTAACCGTTAAAATTTGAAATTTCAGGCCTTTCAGAAGAGCCAAACGTAACGGTAAGGCTAGACAATGAAGCTGACTTGAGAGGAACTGGCAGTCTGAATGCATCTTTCATTACCACAAAGAGAACTTTCATAATCGAGGTCAGGAGCGCTGGCCCACAGACTGCAGAACACTTGATTTGTCGACCACAACCAGCTTTGCTCGTGGGTCAGGTTGGAAACTGATTGATCACAAGAAACCCTAGTCAACTTGCCAGATTCCTTTTTAACCGAATACTTCATAATACAGGAAAGTGTAAAAAGCGTATATCTACAAAGTTCGTACTTTTAAATCTTGGAAAGCATCCATTGAGACGTGTTACAGTTGTTAAAATTAGAAGTAGGCGAGTCCGAGGGTAGTGATTGCTCAGAAAAATCCAATTCCTCACAATCCGTATGTAGGGCACTTTAGGTGCTTCACAAAGACACTTGGTCTTGCAGTCCGTGTCAAAAATAAAATTCTTCGGACTGACAATCGTTTGAGGAAATTTCTCGTTCTCTGAACCGTGTACTCCCGTCCTTGCTCCATCCCCTCCCCCAATGGGCCAGAAAGGCACCTGTCAGTGTGATTTGAGTTTGCACGCTAAGCAGTTGGTGGGCAGGGTACTAACCATGCTTTAAGGCTGCTGTTTTTGCAAAATTATCTTGAATGACGCATAAGCATTGCAGTGTTTTGCACGTAAAACCAGAGCGGCTGGCATGACCTTTGTTTTTAAAGTTCGATGACCAGGGGGACCTGAAAATTAATTCCAGAAGCAGGAAAAAGGTCTCTTCAGGAGAAACAGGAGGAAGCGGTTGACTTTAATGGAACACTGAGTGCCGCGGATATAAGTGATGCTTGTCAACAGATAGAAATGTTGCCAACTTTCCACCAGCTAAGCAGAATATTCAAAAATTACAACAACGAAGAAAGCAAGCTACCTGTTATGACGTTTTCGGAAAAAAATTGGCAAAATTCCACCTCAGAGAAATTAGTCAAACGGTATTTAAACCCATTACAAGAGCTGCCAGTGTACATACCCAGTCTGTCTTAAGACACATTAGTGGAAACCTAAATGCTCCATACAAGAGATATATGTAATTCCTCCGCCAAACAAGCCGGAACCTGCAAGTAGCACTTTTACCAGTACATAAACTGGATTTGCAGGAGGTCGAAATAACCAACCTGAGATAGTTCAATGGAGATCCCGTTGGACGGCATTAATTTCGGCAGGAAAGTTGACGCACGCAACTGCTATACACGTGGGCCGGAAAATCCGAGTAAGTATACTGGTGGCGAATATGACGACATTTCGACCGTCGATTTCGACAATGTCCACCGTGTGCTCCACAGCAGCGTGGGAGCAGGGACGGTGATATGCGTGTGAATTAGTTTATAGTGATAGTAGGCTTTCGCAGCATCTGCCGCACTCTCTCCTTCTCAGGCACCTTCCAACAATTTCATCTGTTATACTTTTATTTGTAAACAGATAGAAACATCGGATTCGGTCTTGTGCTTCAACGTCACATGAAGTCCGGCGCTCCAAACTTCAAAGCCAACTGCATCACCGCCGCCAAAGCCAAATGCGAGACACGCAAATCTCAACTGCCGCCGCCGCCACCGCCGCCGCCTCACAACGCCAACACCCAACCGCCTTCAACGTGCTCACGATGTCAGCAGACATTCCTGGCGACTATTGTACTTGTCTGACACCGGCCAACTGCAGCACCCGGACTGCACCAACTGTCGTCCCCTCGTTCACATCTCCCTCGACCCCCATGTCGTCAACTAACGTCGACCGCCCTCCCTAACCGTCACTACCATCCTCCTCCTCCTCCTCCTCCTCCTCCTCCTCCTCCTCCTCCTCCTCCTTCACCGCCCTAACGTCCACCCTTGTGACGTCTGCCATGCTCATCAACACAACACACAATCCTGACACCCCAAAAGTCATAATCGCCACCACCGTCAACACCAGTGACGAGGACCCGGTCTATACTTCTCCTCAGTGTGATCGCACCTTCACCTCACGCATCGGCCTTGTCGGTCACTTGCGAATCCACAGGAACGGAACGAATTGATCGCAGCTCCGACATACCTAACACAACCAGCGCACCCAACACCACCAGGTCCACCATACTGACACCGCCGACTTCTTATGTGCATACTGTCCCCGTACATTCACCTCACGCGTCGGCCTGGTCGGTCACTGGCGAATCCGTCGCAAAGGGACTAGCTAACCAGGGCCTGGAGCACCAATCTACACTCGCCGCATCCGACCTCACTGTCCACATTGCACTCGCACATTTATTAACCGCATGGGTCTATTAGGACATAGGCGCGTCCAACAAAAACCTACGATAGACAACCGTCGGCCGCACCACACCATAACATCCTCCCTCACCAGCATCCCACCGCACATCAACATCACCTACCGCCAGCATCCAACTGCCACCTCCCACGCAAGTGGGAAGTGCACTTCTCGGCTCCTTCTCCATGCGGCTCCCCTGCTGCATGTGTGATCGGCGTCTGAGACAATGACCGTGCGTCGGACACCGTGGCTCAGAAGGGGGCCGCTTGACGTCCCAACGCAGTCCACACAGTCCGCCCAGTTGTGCGTGTTGTGTGGTGTGGCGGACTGGTAGGCTAAAAGCCAGGCTGTCACGACCCCCTTCTCAAGCGATCCGTGACACTCATGCATGTGAGGATAGTAGTTGCGTTTGCGTGTGTGCTTTATGGGTAGTGCCTATCAGTCGACGACTGTTTGGTTACCCAACCTCGAAGGCTGACGGCCAAGGTCTGACGGCGCGTGCTATATCAGTATCAGCAAACCATGGTCCTCGCAGCCTCGTATGCGCTAGCAGTCCCCTGACACCTGGTTCCCTGTCGGTAGATGCGCTTGCGCTCCCGCCGTGTGTACAGGTGATGGGCATGGCTGCCCAGTCATCCTCATCCTCCTGAGCCCTGCTGGGGTGTTGTTGTTGTTGCCGTCGGTGGTGGTGGTGAAAAATCCGAGTCAAGTGTATGTTGTGGACCAGGGGGTGTGGTAGCACGCCTGTGTGCCGGTCGGGTCGTGCAAACCGTCTGCGTTTTCCCTTGCCTCCGATCCTCTTGACCTGTCTTTACACGGGGCCCAGGTGTGGAGTGGGGAATAGAGAGTGCGGTAGATACTGCGCAAGTCAACCATCAATATAAACCAATTCACGCGCAAGTCACCGTGACTCCTGCCCCTTGCTGTGTAGTACACGGTGGACATTGTCGGAATTGACGGTTGAACTCTCATGTGGAGGCCGTATGCCACACCCTCCGCCGATCCCATTCTTATCACCATCCAGTGGAACGACTCAACAAATTCTCTGGCGCGCGAGGCAGGAGAGAGTGTGAGTACAGCCGACCATAATACTTTCATCCTTATTTTCTAAAATCGATTTGACTTGCTCGAACCCACCATGACGTCAAAAATTGTGGCTTGGAGTTTGCCAGTTGACGGGCTGGCTGGGTCTTCCCTTGGAACAAGTGTCAGACTGCAGTGACTCATTTTTACGTAGGGCTTATTGCGTCCCCTCATGTGGGATCCGAGACCCCCTGAATGAAACGGGGTACGTGTGCGGTTAGGGTCCACGTCCTGTCTGGCACGCGCAGACGGGCTGTTTATTTTTACCGATCACGGCACCAAGTTCAACCTTCGATCTTGTTGACTCTGTCTTGGCTCCAGATGGTTGTGCAGGTGATGATGGTGAGTGAGGTGGATGCAGTTAAAGTATGCTTTACACGCCAGTCACTCTGCGTCCAGCGTGGGACAGTGGTAAACCTCGTGAATTGTGACGGTCGAGCCCTCGTGAGAATATCAACGCGTCCACATCGTCAGAATTTATTTAAGACCCGGACCTATCGCAGTGCCAGCACGACCAGCGCATTCACACACAGAAAACGCCCTCACTGAAGAAACTCCTCCCAGTGGCCTTCACTGTAGCACCATGTTTTAGTCTCGAGTTGCCCTTGCTTAGCATCTCCGTACCCACTTCAAAGGAAACGCCGTCGGAACACAGTGTGATCGCTGCCGTGCAGACGCGGTTTCAGCTTGCTTCCGCTATGTTTGTACACTCCACTCTTGCATCGACCTGGCCAGACAATTGCAAATCCATCGTTGCGCGGCCAGAGTACTAGTGTCTCCAGTCCTTGCCAAAACGCCTCCTGTTACCACACTCTTTCAGAACATTTAGACGCCGTACTGACCCATTCAGCCATATGCGCATATATAACAAAGAGCACTGAAACAATATAACGCTGGTTCTTCTTCAACCATTAGGATTTCCACACATAAGCCCATATGACCGAGGATCGATAATGCATCACACATAGCTCATACAACAGTTGTGTGACGCGATTAGACGGCGTCGCAATGAGGGGTGAAACGTCGCATGCGAGCATGTGCACACCGCGCCAGCGTGGGATCAACTTTTGTGAAGTTGACTTATGCGGAATGAGAGACAAGTACGTGTGCATCGTGATCAAATAGAGGACTCCACGTCAGCAATCAATGCGCCTAATCTCTTCACAAGTCTGTCAGGGTTGGTTGGAACGTTGTTGGGGCGGTGAAAGCAAGAGAGGGTGGGACTGATCCATCAAGACCGAGCATTTTCTTCTCTCCTTAAGATCAAAGAAGAAGCAGTTTGGACCACCACGATGCGCGAAAAATTGTGGCATGGAATATTGCCAACTGACGGGGTAATCGGACGTACCGATGCTGTCGTACGGAGCGGAGACTTGGACAGTGTACATGAAGCAGGCACGCTGACTCAACCACTTCCACCTCAGTTGTCTCTGTCGAATACTGAAGCTGAGGTGGCAAGACTGAATCCCAGACATGGACAAACTAGAACGGACGGGAATCCTCAACATGTGTGCGGCTGACACTGAAGATGGTGGTTAAATCGCCTCCCCGTAGATGCAGGCGGAGGCTCATTGGGCGATCGTTGCTACCCCGCGGCAGACAGGGCAGTCGTCCCGCGATAACGTTCCGGATGGCGAAGGCGACACCCGCGTCCCATCGTTCTGCCTTGAGGCGACCGCTCCAGGAGAAGGTGCAACTGGTACCCACCTCCTCCAGTTGGTCTTGTTTGGAGAACCGGGTCTCACTGAGTGCGACGATGTCCACCTTGTAGCGCGCCAGTTCCCTGTGGGGTCACTTACCTTTTGGCCTCTTGCAGGGTTGCAGACGAGGATTCATCTCGGAGGCGGCGACGCTGTGATCCGTTGGACATTCAACCGTAGAGTAAGAGAGTAGAGTAGATTAGGGTGTAGGGAGAGTGGGATGCAGAGGAGAATGGTGGAGAATAGGTGCGAAAGAGATGTAAGACCCGATCTTCCTTCCACTGAGTCAGTATCTTGCTGAGCGTTTATGGCCTCCCGCAGGTTTGCAGACGAATCCACCTCTCGGAGATGCCGAAGCGGTGATTCCACCAACCATCGGTGGGGGGAGTGGAGCCGAGCAACCGTCTATGGAGATGCACACACTTATACCCTCACCTGGTTTGTTCCGGCGGTCGAGACGGTTGGGAGGTGCGTTTGCTAGGCAGAGGCGAGCTTCGGTGAGCCAAATGTGAGAGCAACAATCCCGACGGCAGCGGGCCAAATGGCCGAGTTATCATCACGCCAACATCCCGCACGGGTGGTAAAATTGCGGTAATTAACGACTCAGACGCAGACTGACGAGCAATCATTGCCTCAATTACTGGATAATGACATCACTTCTTTCCCTCAGAAGAAATCAGGACTGTAAAATTACACTACGAAATTGGCAGGTACCCATGACTTCAGGGGCCGCGGTACAGTCCCAAATAACATCCATGTCTGTATGAGGTCAACGATCTGGGGAGGTGGATGCTGTCTCCGAAACGGTGAACTTTTAAGACGACTGGTTACGGCCCACACCACAAACATGTCACTCCAAAAATACATGCGCCGAGACGTGGGTGTGGCGGCTAACCTCCTCCCACGAATTAAATTAAATTAGGGATATTTACACCCATCCCATAGGCATCTTTTTGACCTTAGACGCAGCAGATCGCAAAGAAATTTAATTATAGCGAAGTCCGTTGTGGGTGCTGGGTTCGAGATGAATCTACCTCACTCTTTTGCCTTTACCATACAAGTGACAAATTCGAGTCGGCTCGACTCATGATGAGATTGAGCACAGTAGCCGATGCGGTCCGAGCTCTCAGCCTAACTCGAGTGTCGTTTTTGTGACATTGTGTGTGCCCTCAACGTTTGAGGGGAGCGCGTGAGCAGGTAGGGTGGACCTGACGGATGTTGATCGAAACTCATTGCAGTAGTTATCAAGTCCTGCTACGATGAATTCGCAATGTCTGACCAAACCTGCACGCGACAGGAATGAACGGTTAGAGCGGGGACAAGTAAGTGTTAGCGCCATGTATGTGTACGACGGCCCACAAGTCACGTTACTATCTAATAGTCAAATTAAAGGTTAGATATTAATTTTTCGCATATATTTCTTCGTCACATGAAGTACCAGAAATGGTATCTTTTCCTAAGTGTGTAGTAAAAAATAATGTCGCATAACCGAGCGCCATTTTTTACTTCGCAAGCGCGGCCTCTATTTACAGAATATTGCATAGCAGCTCCTAACATGTCTGGCTCCAGCGCGGGGTGTCCTTACCAATGCTACTTTTGGATCGCTGGAAAATCATTGACTTATTGATATACATCCTATCCTTCAGAAAGTCCCAAAGGAGGGATTCGGGCGCTGTCAAATCGCGATAACGTGGAGGCCAAGTAATATCTGAATTCCTCGAAAGTATCAACCCTTCGAAAATGTGTCCTAGCAGTTGGATTGAGTCTTTGGCTGTATGGACAGTTGCTCCATCACATCTCCGGCTTGTCCTCCACTGCAAGACGTCAAAACCTTTTCTAACGTTGCTCGATATCAGTCGGGGGTCACCGATCATCGTTCAAAGAGAAGTTAGGTCCGACTACCTATTCAGAAGTTACACAGCAATAAACCATGATCTAGACAGAATGCGATTCATGTTTGTGGATGACTTCCGGACCACTTGTGCTTTGAAATTTAGTGCCCTGTCCAGCCACAAAGTAAATCGGGTAAAAAAGACTTCATTTCCCATGCAAGGCACGCGCATAGTCTTTGTGCCTGGATAAGGGAGAAGTGTGTAGCTGAATAAAATGCCATGACGTTTATGCGTTGGTCTGTTGTGAATTTTTCTATGCATAATATTTCGGAAAAAACAAGTTTTCAGTATCTGAAACAAATAAATATGGCACGTAAGTCGTCAAATTTTTAAATAGCGGAACGACATATATGTCAGCCTTTATGAGTATAAGCAGTTGCATTGGGGTCGGGGACTCGGTTTTGTCTCGCAATGAACTTTTTATGGCGGTGTCCATTCCCTTTCTTTCATGAGACTGCCTTAACACAGTGCTCGGGTTATCAGAAAATAAATACCACGCGAAGAGTCTGGTATGCTGTCGAAAATAGTCACTAATAAAAGTTTCTAGTGTGAACGTCGCTGATACATCCTAATTTCAGGGCGGGACTTAATATCTACATCTGCACCGGCTTGCAGGCACTCGCCAGCGATCAAAACAGCGATACTTCATATTCACCCAACAGTGAAAAACTCGGTGCCCCGGTGGGATTCGAACCCACGCAGTAAGGGGAAGGCTTTAGTACAGCCAATGCTCTAACCACTTAAGCTAAGAGGCCCTACTGCAACGTCTGGAATCCACCAAAACAACGAAAAGCAGTCGATGCTCGACTGCATGCTGTTCATCCTAATACGGACGCCCACCAGGGCTCTAGAACGGGCGCCCCAGGCAGAAGCATGAACAGATGTTAATGGCCCGTATGTAAGGGATTTAAACTGCAATTCCAGCAATACAGTCACTAAGACTTCGGTAAGCTCGCCCTGGTAGTCGGGAACAGGATAGTATCGATCATGTCGGATAACTGGCAGTCGTGGATGTAAGAGCTCGAAAGCTTAGCATTCGGTGCAAATTTCTGGGGGCCAAAAGCCTGCTTGCGTTTTACGACAACCGTTTTTCAGCAGTCCGAATGCCTCCTTCTCAACGTCTTACTGTCTGATCAAGAGATCAAGTTACGAGAAAATTACGAATTTTCCTACCGGTCTGACATATAATTGGGAAGAGCCACACAGGTTTCAGAAAGGAAACATTCGTTTATCTGTCAAGAGAATATACAATTTTAAAAGCTTCTCTTATCTTAGGATCATGTAATGTTACAACGTTCGAAGCAAGTATATTGGGTCAAATCAAGTGCTTTCTTAGCTCGATGGGAAATCCCACTGGACTTATGTTTCTAGGAGCCCAATTACAGCTGTTAAAAATGACTATGATTTTAGGAGCAGCCTGGATTCGAGTACAGCCAGAGATCAGTCTCATGAAAGATTAGCGAACTTTTGGCATGCGTTTTCGACTAAAATGACATACTTGGGTGGGTTTGAAGTGGTGATTGTTGTGCAACATAACCCCAACATCTTTCCGTCACGCTAGGATGCCGGCTTTGGAATGAACTCTTTCAGTCGTCTGCCAAATCCACACTTGTCAAAAAGATGGCTGCCAGAGGAACATGCACTTTTCCAATCGACTTCGAGCGTCCTTATAAATTCAAACATATTTTGTAGGAAATATGCATAGAAATATCGTTTATTGTGCTCATTTGGTGGTATATTGCGTGTTCTTCAGCTTTCGTACGCAAAAGAAGGTTATCTCTCGGTTAAAAACAGTTAGTGACTGCGAGATTCTTTGGGACATTGAAGTGTCCGTTCATACAGTTTCTTATAAATCCATTTACTAATAAATCTTACGGAGTAGTCCACATCTATTGCAAAATCATATGGGCTCTACATGGTATCTTCTTTATGTTGTAGGGACATGTTTGATTTTCCTTGAATGGAAAGTAGGCAGCTTATTGACTGCAAACTCTAAAAGCAAACGTAACGGCTTATTGGTATAAAAATTATTCGGGAATTGAATAAATTTGTACATGTAACCTTTATTCGAGCACAGATTTTAAAAAATGCGTTATTTGCTATTAAGTGAGCAGAAAAAGACATTTTTGCGCATGTTTTCCATAAAATATATCTAAATTTATAAGGACGTCGAAAATCAATATAAAAATCCACGTAAGTAGTCATTTTTGTCAAGTGTTGTTGTTACAGCCGGGCGAAAGATGGTGCATTCATAAACCGGCATCCTGTCGCGACTTTAATATCCTGTGATCAAACTGCAGGATAATTAACATGACGACCCTCATAGAATAATCCTTCCTAATCGAGAACGAAATTTGGAATTTCGGTCACTATTTCATGAGAATGGTCATCGACTGTACTACCGTATTTTGAAAAATTACTCCGTGGTTTAATTATACATCCGGCATAAGAAAGTAAATCCACTTGTTCAAGCCCGGGCTTGTCAAATTACCTGTCCAACGATATTTACCACCCGTAACGTTCAGGATTAAATAGTGTTACATGAATCAAAAACAATATTTTGTCGTTTTCCTGCTGTTCGAAATGTCAAAAATGGATATATCAGTCAGTATTTTGCAATTTTAAGGTATTTTGGATTCCGCGACTGACCTTTTGAAGTTCGCTTCATAAGACCTAATTACAGTGAGTCACCGATCTCATGAAATGTTGGCTGAAATTCTGAAATGCGTTTTCGAATAGGAAGGGTTACTTAGGCGCGGTTGTAATTCTTATTATCTTGCGACATAATCCTATAACATTTTGGACTCGGCAGGAAGTCAACTTTTGAAGACGCTGCTTTTCAATCTCCTGTGGAAACCGTACCCGATACAACAAATGACTACTTAAGTAGCATGCATTTTCCCACTGATTTTCGATGGTCATGGAAATCCAAACATATCTTATAGAAACGATAAACAAAATAGGCTTTCTTTCAGTCGTTTGATAGAGGATTACGCCATTTTTATATTTTATACCCGGAGAAGGAGTGTAATTAGGTTTTAAAAAGTTACTAATTATGATATGTTTTAAGACCGCGCAATGCCCATTCATATAGCATAGTACATGTCCGTTTACTACTGCTCCTCATGAAATGTACAACATAGTCGCACCCATCGCAAAATTTTACGGACTCTTTATGCTATATTTTTAAAGGTGCAGAAGAATATGTGGTTTCCTTTACGCGGAACGCAAGCCCCTTGTAGACTGAAATCACTAGAGATCATGAGATCGGTCATTCA